CGGTTGTGGCCCCGGCCCGCCGGGGTGGCTCGGGGCGGCGATCGCTCGCGCCCAACTTCGCGCCCCGCGATGCCCGCTCACGTTCTGGGATTTTTACGCAACTGGACTCCCCTCCCTCTGGCAGTCCCCGGGGGGGGGGGGTGAGGAGCTGGTGCGACCGAGAGAGCCACGGGGCTGTGCCTCATCGTCGGGCCGGAACCCGAGGCCCCCAGGGAGGAGAGTCCCCAGGAAGAGAGACCCTTTGCCTCTGAGAGGGGAGGGGCCGGGGAGGGGCGGGGGGGGGGGCGCTCAGTTCTAGGACGGGAGCGCCCTTGGTGGCGCCAGACCTCGGCTCTCTGGACCTCTCGGAGGACTAGGCGATGCCAGAGAGCGCGGCTCCCCGCGCGCGGCCCGAGGATCTAGCTGGGCGCTGCCCATCTCTGGGGGCCGCCTGGGACTCCGCCAGCGCCGTCTCCTCTCCCTCAGATCCCGCAGCCGCAGGGGATGACGCCGGTACCTCCGCGGCCCCGACTCCGGGCGGGAAGGGCGAGCCCCTCAGCCCGCACCGCGTCGCCCGCCTGGGCGGCACCGATAAGGAGCTGAAGGCAGGAGCCGCCGCCGCGGGCAGCCCCCCAACAGCGCTGGGGACGTCCTGGCAGCGGGAGCCGCGGGACGAGGTTATGGATCCAGGTTTGTGGGGTGGGGGGGGGGGGGGTAGGGGCTGAGGGTGGGTGGCCCTTCCGCCCTTGCCAGGAAGAATGGCCAGAGTCAGCTGGGCAAAAAAAGAAGGGGCTGGCTGGGGGACAGTCGAAACACTTTTCCCGACGAGGCCAGAAGCTGGCCGGGTCTGAGCCAAGAGCCGGGGTGGCAAGGGCAGCGTGCTCCCTCCCGCTCCTGGAGCTCCCCCCTGGAAGGCCGCCGCCTCTGGCGGGGATCTGTTGGATCAGTTACCGGGGGAGTTCATCAGGCCCCGCGTTTCCATCCCAAGTACCCCTTTTGTGATCCGCGGCCCCCTAGTGGCCGGTTGGGGACGCGGTCTTTTGGGGTTTGTTTTTACAGCGGGCGGCGGCGGGAGCCTGCTGCCCGAGCGGTGCCGCGTGCTGGTCCTGTTAAACCCGCGCGGAGGCAAGGGCAAGGCGCTGCAGCTCTTCTGGAGCCACGTGCAGCCCCTGCTGGCCCAGGCCGGCATCTCCTTCACGCTGATGCTCACTGGTGAGTGCCTCCCCGAGGGGTGGCAGGGAGCAATCCCAGCCACTGGCCCCCGTACATACCCTCGGGGCCACCCCGTCTCTCCACAGAGCGTCGGAACCACGCTCGGGAGCTGGTGCAGGGGTTGGAGCTGGGGCGCTGGGACGCGCTGGTGGTCATGTCTGGAGACGGGCTGATGTACGAGGTGAGGCCCGCCCCAAGAGACTGGGTGTGGGTGGTGGGGGGCGGGGTGCTCCCCAGGCTGAGGCCACCGGTGCTCCAACAGGTGGTGAACGGGCTCATGGAGCGGCCCGACTGGGAGACTGCCATCCGGAAGCCCCTGTGTAGCCTCCCAGCTGGCTCCGGCAACGCACTGGCAGCTTCTTTGAACCATTATGCCGGGTGAGAGCCCAGGGTCCGAGGGGGCCTCAGTTTCTCCTCCATGCCACCCTCCTGCCAGGTTTTCTTTTCTAAGTCCCCGTATCCCGGGGTAACTTCTGTTCCCTCTTCTCGGGAGCCTCCACGCTGTGTTCTGGGGCCCTCTCTCGGTCACTCCAGCTGGCTGCCTCCACCTGCTCCCTCTGTCATTCCTACCGACTAACTCCCTAGGGACCCGGTGTTGCTTTGCCTGCCTCGAGTCCCCAGGCGGCGGAAGGGGAGGATGCACGAGGGCTCCGGCCTCACTCCCTCCGACCTCTCTCCCCCGCAGCTATGAGCAGGTGACTAACGAGGACCTCTTGACCAACTGCACCCTGCTGCTGTGCCGCCGGCTGCTGGAGCCCATGAACCTCCTGTCACTGCAGACCGCCTCGGGGCTGCGCCTCTTCTCCGTGCTTAGCCTGTCTTGGGGCTTCATCGCTGATGTGGATCTGGAGAGCGAGAAGTTTCGGCGCCTCGGGGAGCTCCGCTTCACTCTGGGCACCTTCCTGCGCCTGGCGGCACTGCGCGTGTACCGGGGCCGACTGGCCTACCTGCCCGCAGGAAGGGGGGTCCCCGGGGTGCCCGCCTCCCCTGCAGTGGACCGGCAGGACCAGCAGGGCCCTACGGACGCGCACCTCGTACCCCTGGAGGAGCCGGTGCCCGCGCACTGGACGGTGGTGCCGGAGCAGGACTTCGTGCTGGTGCTGGCGTTGCTGCACTCGCACCTGGGCAGCGAGATGTTCGCTGCCCCGATGGGCCGCTGTGCCGCCGGCACCATGCACCTGTTCTACGTGCGGGCGGGCGTGTCTCGGGCCACGCTGCTGCGCCTCTTCCTGGCCATGGAGAAGGGGAGGCACTTGGAGCAGGCCTGTCCCTACTTGGTGTACGCGCCCGTGGTCGCCTTCCGCCTGGAGCCCAAGGATGGAAAGGGTGTGTTTGCCGCCGACGGGGAGTTGTTGGTCAGCGAGGCTGTGCAGGGCCAGGTGCACGCGGACTACATCTGGATGGTCAGTGGCTGCGTGGAGCCCCCACCCGGCCAGAAGCCTCGGCGGGGATCACCTCCAGAAAAGCCCTTATGACTCCACGGGCCTTGTCGTGCCTTAGCCTGCTTGGTCTACTCCGAGCTCAGGATCCTCTCCCCTTCCCCCAGGACCGGAGGGCCTGTCCCCAGCTCGTGTGGTGGTGGGGAGGAGGAGCAAGCGGACCCCTGGAGAAGGCGGGAAGGCGGAGGACGTGCTTTGGAAGGCCGGGCTCTGCCTCCCAAAGGCCAGAATGAGGCTCTGGGCCAGGAGCCCAGCCGGTTGCCCCCCGCCCCTGCCTATGGGAGCCAGTCCCGTTTTGTCCTGGGAGCCCCACCCCACGAATCAAAATACAAATAAAGTGACCCTCCCAGCCTACTGGTGTTATTCCAGGTGTTGGGGAGAGAGTGGGGTCTAGAACTTAACCTCAGCGATGCCCAGTGGTGCCTCCTGGATTGGACACAGCAGGGTACTGACCCCCGCTAATAGTCATTTTGGTGGTGGGCACGGGACCAGGGCTAGTCCGGGTTTTCCTTTTTTTTTTTTTTTTTTTTTTGCAGAGGTTAGGGCCCTGCCCCAGTGATCATCCCGCCTTTGGCCTGGGAGAAGCCAGGGAGCTCAGCCAACTGCCTAACCCCATATGGAAGACAGACACTCAGATCTAGTGTCTTACCCGGGGCCACACAGCCAGTTAGTCTCCGCAAAAAGGGAAAATGTCTCTGATTTCAGGGGCATTAGGGAAACTGGCAACAAAGTCAAAATGGGAGGTAGTTACTCCCTCTGGAAAGGAGTCTTATCCCTCCAGTGAGGACTCTAGGGCTCCCCCAGCCTCCTCCACCTCCTCTACCCTACCCTGCCCCTATCCCCTCATGGGCAGGAGTTAAAAGGAAACAGCAGGAGGGGCACATACCAGGCCCCCAAGCTGGTCACCGTTTTTGGTGTAAAGCCCAGGCCAGGTGCTCGGATGTCTGCTCCCCCAGCATCTGGAAGGAGTTGACCTGGCCGGGCCGGTCAATTACAGGCCCCTGGGACCCCAGCCGCTGCTGGCAGACATTGCCCAACACTGGCCCTCGAAGAATGGGACGCGAGCCCTGCCCGCGAACAACAGCACTGACCCGCTGAACTAGATCCCGGGCTCCCGGCCCCCGGACGCCCGTGAGTCCTAGGACTGGACGCGCAGAAGGCGCGGAAGCAGACCGGTGGGTGCAAGGTGCCGCTGCCGTGAACCCTCCTGGCAACCGGTCTCGCCTTCCCCCGGGGAGGTGTGCGTGAGGTGCCCCAGAGGGGAAGAAAGGCGACAGAGCCCAGATGAATGGCAGAGGCAGGTTTAATGGTGCCACCTTGTCTTTTTTGTACATTGGAATGAGCCAAACGAAAAAAATGCAAGTAAAAAAAAAGTTTAATCACACAGCACTTTATACAGGCATCGTAAGCAGTAGGCATCCACATCTCCACATGAACAACGCACCGGGAAGCACAGCCCCACCACTCCAGATGCTTCTCAAACAAGGTACCGACTCAGGGCTCCAAATGCCGCGGCCCGGCCCCGTCCTTCCCTGCGGCCGCTGCCCGCTGGGTGGTTACGGCACTGCACAGGCGTGGAGCCAGCGGAAGGCGGACAAGACGCATCATGCTTTGGCTTCTTTTTTTTTTTTTGTCTTTTTTTTTCTAATAAGAGTTAATATCTTTGCTTTTGAGATTTACTTTCTTTCAACCTTAAATATTACATACATACACCAAAAATTACATAGCTGCAATGTGCTCAACAGCATCCTCTTAACCTGGAGCTTCACATTATCAAAAGCTTAGAAAACTTGTAAACCTCTGGGCCTGTCTCTGCGAGGGAGGAGAACCCCTGTCGGCCACCTCTCTCCCCAGATTGAGCCTGCAGAGTTTGTAAGCAACAGGAGGCCTCATCCTCAACCGAGAAAGAGAGAGAGAGAGAGAGAGAGAGAGAGAGAGCGCAGGCCGGTTCCTTCTATGTCACCTCCCAGGGTTAGCATGTGATGGTGGGAGGGGCAGAGTCTGCGGGAGGGGCCCCAGCACCTGCCCCGGCCTTGTCTGTGCTGCTGCCCTGCCTCCTAGGGCCCCGGGGCGGGACGGGGCAGGGAGCAGACGGCTTCGGCCCAAGAGGTGAGGCCGGCATGCCAGCACTGCAGAGCCCCCAGCCACCTGGGACGCAAGAGCAAGGCACCTACAGCTGTCTTCTTTTCCAGCAGCAACCTGGTCCTCATTCCATGTTATGCGCAAGGGCCACCACCACCTCTCCCGGGTGTCACCCTGAACCCAGCCTGGTCCCAACCTCTCTGAGAGAGCAAGTTCAACAGCCTGAGGGTTATCCTGTGAAAGGTCCAGAGCAGAGCCAGGGGTCGGTGACGGCAGCCACAACTCCCCAGCTGGGGGTGGAAGGGGGTGGGGGGGGGGAGACAAGGGAGGATCTGGTGGCGGTGGCAGCGGGAGGACCCAGGAACGGGGACGCTACGGGGCACTGAAGAGGTTGAAAGGGACGAGGGGGGAAACGCTGGAGCAACCCACACTTCATGCAAGGCACACCCACTCGTCCTGCGGCTGAGCTGCATGGCTCGTGGGGCAGAGGGAGCCCCCGAGCCAGGCCCGAGGAAGACCCCACCTCCGCCTTGAGATGGGGACGGCGAGGGAGCAAGTGCCGGGACGCTCTGCCTGGGTGACAAGTGGAAAATCAGCAACAGGTTTCAGATTCTCTTTGCCACAGGGCACCGGCCCGTTGGAAGATTGCTTCGGAAAAGAAACGGCAGCATCTCATGAAACTTCTTGCACTTCAGCATCAAACTCACCTCGGGGAGAGGGCAGCGAGGGGCTTTCGCGTTGGGGACAGAGGAGAAAACGGGAAGATGGAAGGTTCCGGGGGAGGGAGCGAGCGGGCAGCGGCTGGCCTCTCCCCACGTGACGCTTCTTCCTCGAGGGCTGGCGGCTACTGGTCCTCCGCGCTCTCAGGCATGCCCGCTTCTAGCAGAGCGGCCCGGAACTGCGTCAGGACACCCCGGATGCTCTTGATGAAACCCTTAGAGAGTGGGAAGAGAGGGAAGCCGATGTCAGGATAGCCGCTCTTCTCGGGCAAGAAGCTCCGGTAGCTCTTTCTCCGCTTCTTTGGTCTGACACTGGGGGGCACCGGGGCGTCGGGCGCTGCCTCCGAAGTCTGGTCTGTGCGGTCCCTGGTGGCCGAGGCCAGGCCCTGGGCGCCGCCCTCCGAGTCTGAGCCCTGGGAGGCCTCTCCAGGGAACAGCCCTCCGTCCTCAGCTTCCTCTCGGCCGTAGTCTGAGAGCTCGGCCACGGCGGGTGGCTCCGGGGAGCCGCTGTCCTTGGGGATCCCGTTGGGCAGCGCCTGGGCCCTCTCCAGCAGGGCGTGGGTTTCCAGCCAGGACTCGATGCGGTTCACCAGCCGCCAGCCACCGGTGCTGAAGTGTTGCCGGATCTCCTGCTCGAAGACCTCGGGCGGCCGCCGCACCAACTGGGTCATGGACTGCACTACGCGGATGAGCGCCATCTCGTTGTAGCAGCGACTGTTCTCATACCCCTCCTGCAGGCCCCGGTCGCTGTCGAAGCCCGCCTCGTTGTAGTACGGTTCATTCACCAGGATTAGACCTGGGGGTAGGGGTGGGGGTGGGGGGTGAGAAGCCCGTCAGGGCCGGCCCGACAACTCCAGGGACGGCCAGAGCCACAGGCGGGACGGGGAGGACACGGAGGCCAGCGGCACCCCACCCTCCAGCGGCCCTCCCCACCGGCGCCCTGCACCCTGCCCGCCGTACCTTGGATGGAGATGAGCACCTGGAGGAGGCTGGATTTGCTCGTCCACCTCTCTGTGCCCTGGAACGCACATGCGCACAGCCTCATCAGCTCCGGCCCCGACACCCCGCCTTCCCCCACCCCCCCCCGCCGCCCTCCCCCGTTCCCACCCGGCTCCTGGCACCGCAGTCACCTTTCCGATCCAGGTGCCCAGGAGGCTGACGCACACCTTCCCATTGTCATACAGGTTGGGGTTCAGGCGGCCACTGCACTGGGAGAGGTAGCAGAAGTGGGGGGGCACGGCTGGGTAGATGTTGGGGAGCTGGATGTCAAACAAGTAGAGGCCATCCTCGTAGGGGGTGCGAGTGGGGCCCTTGATCAGGGCTGAGAAGAGGTCCTAGAGGGAGGGAGGGAGGGAGGGAGGGCTGAGGTCGGCGGGGGGCGGGGCTCCAGACACCACCAGCTACGGAGAAGCTAAACGTAAATACCTCTGTGCAGAGCCACGTGGAATCTTTTAACTCCAGGCGTAAATAGAATTATCCAAAGTCGTGTTTATTTTACCAGGCTTTTTTTTCCGTTAAGTCATTACTTTTTTTTATTAAAAAAAATTTTTTTAATGTTTGTTTATTTTTGAGAGAGAGAGAGAGAGAGAGAGAGAGAGAGAGAGAGAGAGAGAGATGGTGCCTGAGCAGGGGCGGGGGCAGAGAGAGAGGGGGAGACACAGAATCCGAAGCAGGCTCCGGGCTCTGAGCTGTCAGCACAGAACCTGATGCGGGGCTCAAACTCACGAACCACGAGATCATGACCTGAGCTGAAGTTGGATGCTTAACCAACTGAGCCACCCAGGTGCCCCTTATTTTTAAAAATTGTTTTAAATGGATGCTTTTCTTTCTGCCTTTTAAAAAGTTTTTTTTATTTATCTATTTTGAGAGAGAGCATGAATGAAGGAGGGGCAGAGGGGGAGGGATGGAGGGAAGGGGAGAGGGAGAGGGAGAGAGAAAGAGAGAGAGAGAGAGGGAGGGAGGGAGGGAGGAGGGGGGCAGAGAGAATCCCAAGCAGGCTCTGTGTTGTCAGCGAAGAGCCCGACGGGGCTGGCTCGATCTCACCACTGTGAGATCACGACCCGAGTCAAAACCAAGAGTCAGACACTTGACCGACTGAGTCACCCAGGAGCCCTTCGTTACTTTTATTTTCACTCTTTAAAACACCTGCCCTGACCTCCACCCCCATGAAGACCAACGATAATCACAACCAGCTAGAAAATGAAAGGACATCCTAGGGCGGCAAGGCTCTACCTGCTTTTGGGAACCGGAGGGATAGGGGATCTGGAATTCCAGCAGAAACGGTGGCAGAGCGCCAGAGACTCAGGTCACTAAGTCGCCGGGCAGACGCCCCACAGATGCTCAAGATCTGGGTGCATGCCGGCGGAGGGGCGGCATCGGCAGCCAGACCCGTGCTCGGAGCACGGGGTGACGGAATGGCGAGGGCGGGGTGCCGACTGGACCGACAGCACCCTCTCCCGCGCTTTCTCACGCGGCCGCCCCGTGGGCCTCAAGAGAAGGCACTGCTTCCCCGTCCCTCCGAGTGAGACTTGGAAAACTTGCGAGTCCCTTCCG